ACATTTTAGTCTGGGACTAGGCTTAAGCCTTGTCTGTGAAACCGGGGGGTAAATGTTCACCATATTGCAGCTCAAATCACAACATTTAACAAAATAATACCTGAAAGTATTTGTTCATGAACTCATTTTGGTTTACAAAATGTGGAAAGTCAGCATTTTGTCTTTCATACAATGCCAATTAAAAGTGTATTAGTGCTAAACTAAAATTCTGCATTATTATATCCTAAAATGAATTAGTTTATTCATTTTTAGTAACTAACAATTTTCAAAAAAAAAAAAAAAATCTAATATAAAAATCACCCTTTTCGAAATAGAAAGTCACCCTGTACCATATAATAACCCAGCTAATTTTAGATGCTTCATTGTATAATGCCTTGTCTGTATTTACAGGAGCTGTTGTTTACCAAGAGCACCCTGGAATGGACGAACTGAGACCTGTAGAAGAGAGTCTTGCATCTGTCCCCAGTCCCAAGCAATCAGATGTTGATGACCACAGCTGTACATCTAAAATGTAGCCTCTGTTGGAACACAGTGGGAAGACCACATCTTCGAGGAGCATTGTTACATCAAGAGACAACACATTGTAACTTATGTAAACCAGTCAACGCAGTGCGATACATTCAAGCCTCCTACTCTGATGAATGTATATGACTCAAATCTGTACACCAGGCTCCCTCTCCACACATTTCATACCCTTGTAGCGGTTCTGCGTCCCCATGAAAATCTGGCTTACCAGACCGAAATTGAACAGCAAATCTTGCTCACACTAATGAAGCTGAAATTAAACCTACTGATAGAAGATCTAGCCATTTGATTCCGTATATCAGTGAGTAAAGTGAGCAAGATAATTTCTTTTTGGACTGACACCATGGCTGTAGACATTGTCATTGTAGCATTTTTCCAAAAGGAAAAATTGACTCTCTCCCTGAAGTCTTGATGTGTGTCATAGCTTGGTGTAGATGGTAGCCTTTCTCCCTCCCTTGTTGATGACGCACCATATACATCCTCAGCTTTGTGACGTCGAAATGTCATCTGGCTAATTTACCCCACCCCTAATTCTAACCCCTCCCCCACACCTAACCCTAAACCTACCAATACTATAATAATAATCTGGCGGGGGTCAGAATTGGGCACAACACCGGTGTTCTGACGATTTGTGCTACCCTGTCAGATTTTGCTACCTCCCATTAAAACAGATGGTAGCATAATTCGATAGCGAAAAGTGCTACCTATCAGATTTTGCTTCCAGCATGATATTAATAAGGTGTGAGGCTTTATTAACATGTACACCTACCCCAACCCTAAACCTACCCTTACAGTAGGATAAATACAGTGTTGGTAGCATAATCTGATAGGTAGCATTATTTGTCAGAACACGGCACTTCTTTTTTTCCACTTCAAGCACTGCACTTGTTTAGCCACACTAGAAGTGTTGCGCTATTTATAAATACCCACCTTCCACAACACAGCAGCAGCATGGCTACAAGACCTGCCGGGGCCAGCTACGCAGGAGCATCCAGCTGTTTCAACTACTCAGTTATTTTGTAACATAACCCACACGATGTGATTTGTTTTATTTATAGCCTGACTCAGCTCTACCTCCGTTTTCAGTAATATGAACGGCAGATGTTTATGGCAAAGAATTCGTCCAATTTTGTTACTGTGTAGATAACTGTATGCTTTGGTACTTTTATAATTTCTAAGTTCCTCGCCATCCACACCCTCAGACAAAACAAGGTAATTGAATATGTCAACATATGTGACTGGTGGCCATTGTTTCATATCATCAATCCAGGAGGTGGCGCTGGTCAACTTCGTAGGATGAGGAACAGAAAAAGTTACATTTACGGTCTTTGTCAAATAGTCTTGATCGTGCCACTTCTTTTTTTCCACTTCAAGCACTGCACTTGTTTAGCCACACTAGAAGTGTTGCGCTATTTATAAATACCCACCTTCCACAACACTGCAGCAGCATGGCTGCAAGACCTGCCGGGGCCAGCTACGCAGGAGCATCCAGCTGTTTCCACTACTCCGTTATTTTGTAACATAACCCACGCGATGTGATTTGGTTTATTTATAGCCTGACTCGGCTCTACCTCCGCTTTCAGTAATGTGAACTGCAGATGTTTATGGCAAAGAATTCGTCCAATTTTGTTACTGTGTAGATGACTGTATGCTTTGGTACTTTTATCATTTCTAAGTTCCTCGCCATCCACACCCTCAGACAAAACAAGGTAATTGAATATGTCAACATATGTGACTGGTGGCCATTGTTTCATATCATCAATCCAGGAGGTGGCGCTGGTCCACTTCGTAGGATGAGGAACAGACAAAGTTACATTGTTTACGGTCTTTGTTAAATAGTCTTGATCATGCTGCAACTAATGTTGCCAAACTTCGTAGGATGAGGAACAGAAAAAGTTACATTGTTTACGGTCTTTGTTAAATAGTCTTGATCATGCTGCCACCGCGAACTAATGTTGCCATTGCTTGTTGACATTATGGACATTAAAAGTAAGTAAAACAGATTACAACCGTCGTTTCAGAGCTGTCCAAATAACTCTGTAACGCCTAACTAAACGCATCAATCTGCAACCGGAAGTTCGAAGCATCCTCCATACGCGTACGCGCAAAGCATAATGGGTAATTTCGCATTCCATGAAAAAGGTCTATAGCATAAAGCTTCCCCTTTTTATTTCCAGCTCTCTCTGTTCTCAAAAACGGGTGTTTTGTTTATTTGTTTTTATCTTTAAATTTAGTGCACTTGTCATTCAGGATAATTTTGGTCACTGCTTCTCTGTGCCTGCGACCGCCTGACCAATAATGCTTTGTAGTATTATTCTAAGACTGTTTGCGTAAACAGTGACTTTGGATCTGTACTGTACCTCAGCTCTTCACTGGACGTGTTCTTAGCCCACTTCATATCTATAGTTCCTCTGGGATAATAGCTAATGAACAGCTGGAGTTTTTTTTTTTTTTTTTGCATGACCTTGGTTATTGAATAAGTCCCTGTACTGAAAAGTACTTATATAATTTTGGAATAAAACATGATGTACTTTTTAGGGAGTTACTGGTTTGGATAAATAAAACAATAACTTCACAAATCAAATCTTTTAATGGCTTGAACAGCAATTCAACCTCATTTTTTTGTTATTTTCCAATACTCTATATTGCATTAACTGACCTACTGTCTATTTTAGGGTGAAAAAGGGAGTAGAGGCCCTGCTGGTCCACCTGGATATCCAGGAGAGCTTGTATGTTTACCATTCAATCATTTCTCCACTTCAATTTTGTAAGTGGTCAGTCATTATGCTTTAATGCCATTTTTGTGTGTTTATCAAGGGAGCACCTGGCAGGGATGGGAAAGATGGAATTCCTGGAGGAATTGGTCTAAAGGTCTGTACTGATACAGCTCTTCTCTGTTTAATGGCTTCCTTGAACTGTGAACATGGACCATCGAGAATATTTGGCAAGCCCATTCTGAGGAGGCCAAACAGGATTCCAAGATGCAGTAGTTATTCCAATACTCTATATTGCATTAACAGACATACTGTCTATTTTAGGGAGAAAAAGGGAGTAGAGGCCTTGCTGGTCCACCTGGATATCCAGGAGAGCTTGTATGTTTACCATTCAATCATTTCTCCACTTCAATTTTGTAAGTGGTCAGTCATTATGCTTTAATGCCATTTTTGTGTGTTTATCAAGGGAGCACCTGGCAGGGATGGGAAAGATGGAATTCCTGGAGGAATTGGTCTAAAGGTCTGTACTGATACAGCTCTTCTCTGTTTAATGGCTTCCTTGAACTGTGAACATGGACCATTGAGAATATTTGCAAAGCCCATTCTGAGGAGGCCAAACAGGATTCCAAGATGCAGTATTATTTGACAGAATTGCATGAAAAAATATGCTAGTACAGAATCTCCTTATGGAAAGCCATAAAAAGGTTTGCACCATCGTTTCCTCTTTCATGCTGATCTACGCTGTCTTTTTCCAGGCTTACAGATGGCTTTTATTAAACCAAGCTGTTCGTCAACATCATGGTGGTTGCCTATATGATAAATCCTGGATTATTTGATTAGTTTCAGATCTTTAAACATGCACTACTCCCTTAAAGTTCATGTTTATTTCTTCAAGTAAGAGAAAAGCAATGAAGGCATCCTGGGCATCTTATCACTGATTCATTCCATGTTATAATAATCATTAATAATCATTATGTTGAAAAATGTGCCATGCTTAAATACTCCTTGCTTACACATGCTCTTGCTTATACATAGAGGATAAAAAAAAAAAAAAACATATGGCACTGCTTAAGATTTATTGCAGCTTAATCATAAGTCATGAGAAACCAAGAAACACACTGTTGCTGCCTTAATGTTATTGCCAGCAGATTCAGTGGCATGCCATTTTTGTTCAGCATCTTGTTTATTGTAAGTAAAAAGACGGATTTGAAGTGAAATGTTCTCAGTATTGTATGCATGCAGAATATGCTCAGTGTTATTTGCATGAACAATTCCAACAAGTTTCAAACACTCCCATCCCCCGTTAAAACAATGAGATGCGGTGCACATTTACTCTGACTATATGATCTTTGTCTCTTCAGGGAGATCCGGGACCGCCTGGAATTCCTGGAGTAGATGGAAGAGAGGGACATCCTGTGAGTACATCTTAAAACAGCTAAGATCATTGCCAGGTGTTTTAGTGGGTGGACCGCATTGAAGAGCAAGCTGTTGAATAATACCAGACCGCATTTAAGCAGAGAAACTCATGAGGAATACTCCCTTTTTACTTCATCCAATACAACGCTCCAGTTTGGCTGAATGAATTTACATGATTTGAAGTCTTATTGGTGGTTAAGTCTTTGCACCTGGACTGGGCAGAAGAAAATTTCAGTGTAACCTGGGAAAAAACTGTGAGTGACTCAGCAATTCAGTTCAGCAGACTAGCGCTGAACTCATCTTTAGAGAAGCGGGTCTAAGAGCCATAGATTTTTATAGCTCTATTGGGAGAATGTTTCAAGTATAATGAAAGCCAACTAACTAGAGCCATCTAGCTGGTTTTGGGACAAATAGCAAACAGGCCAAATATATACAATGCATTTTCTTTAATTTTAGATTATCTAGTTCAGTGGTTTTAAATCCTGGTCCTTGGGACCCACTGCGCTGCACATTTTGCATGTCTCCCTTATTTAACACACCTGATTCAGATCATCAGCTCATTAGGAGAGAGATCCATGAACTGCGCTGTGTGTCAGAAAAGAGAGACATACAAAATGTGCAGAGTGGTGGGTCCCCATTCCTTGAACTGTGAACATGGACCATTGAGAATATTTGCAAAGCCCATTCTGAGGAGGCCAAACAGGATTCCAAGATGCAGTATTATTTGACAGAATTGCATGAAAAAATATGCTAGTACAGAATCTCCTTATGGAAAGCCATAAAAAGGTTTGCACCATCGTTTCCTCTTTCATGCTGATCTACGCTGTCTTTTTCCAGGCTTACAGATGGCTTTTATTAAACCAAGCTGTTCGTCAACATCATGGTGGTTGCCTATATGATAAATCCTGGATTATTTGATTAGTTTCAGATCTTTAAACATGCACTACTCCCTTAAAGTTCATGTTTATTTCTTCAAGTAAGAGAAAAGCAATGAAGGCATCCTGGGCATCTTATCACTGATTCATTCCATGTTATAATAATCATTAATAATCATTATGTTGAAAAATGTGCCATGCTTAAATACTCCTTGCTTACACATGCTCTTGCTTATACATAGAGGATAAAAAAAAAAAAAAACATATGGCACTGCTTAAGATTTATTGCAGCTTAATCATAAGTCATGAGAAACCAAGAAACACACTGTTGCTGCCTTAATGTTATTGCCAGCAGATTCAGTGGCATGCCATTTTTGTTCAGCATCTTGTTTATTGTAGGTAAAAAGACGGATTTGAAGTGAAATGTTCTCAGTATTGTATGCATGCAGAATATGCTCAGTGTTATTTGCATGAACAATTCCAACAAGTTTCAAACACTCCCATCCCCCGTTAAAACAATGAGATGCGGTGCACATTTACTCTGACTATATGATCTTTGTCTCTTCAGGGAGATCCGGGACCGCCTGGAATTCCTGGAGTAGATGGAAGAGAGGGACATCCTGTGAGTACATCTTAAAACAGCTAAGATCATTGCCAGGTGTTTTAGTGGGTGGACCGCATTGAAGAGCAAGCTGTTGAATAATACCAGACCGCATTTAAGCAGAGAAACTCATGAGGAATACTCCCTTTTTACTTCATCCAATACAACGCTCCAGTTTGGCTGAATGAATTTACATGATTTGAAGTCTTATTGGTGGTTAAGTCTTTGCACCTGGACTGGGCAGAAGAAAATTTCAGTGTAACCTGGGAAAAAACTGTGAGTGACTCAGCAATTCAGTTCAGCAGACTAGCGCTGAACTCATCTTTAGAGAAGCGGGTCTAAGAGCCATAGATTTTTATAGCTCTATTGGGAGAATGTTTCAAGTATAATGAAAGCCAGCTAACTAGAGCCATCTAGCTGGTTTTGGGACAAATAGCAAACAGGCCAAATATATACAATGCATTTTCTTTAATTTTAGATTATCTAGTTCAGTGGTTTTAAATCCTGGTCCTTGGGACCCACCGCGCTGCACATTTTGCATGTCTCCCTTATTTAACACACCTGATTCAGATCATCAGCTCATTAGGAGAGAGATCCATGAACTGCGCTGTGTGTCAGAAAAGAGAGACATACAAAATGTGCAGAGTGGTGGGTCCCCATGACCAGGATTGAAAACCACTGATCTAGTTATTTGGCAGCATTTGTTTTAGGACAGAGATTTTACATTGAACATTTTACATTAATCATACAATACTAACAAAAATGTCCTTGAAACCAAATATCTACTTTATAGAATTATCCAATAGTCATCTGCAATATTTTATCTCATGCTAAAAGCCTTACATACAGTACAAAAGTGGCCAAAAGTAATGTCCGGAGAGGATATTTGCTTTTTAATACCCTACAAGTTTGATTAAACAATCAAAATTTGAGGAGTATGTTATATTGGAAAGAATAAAATGTTAAACTCGGTTAAGTTATTTAAACTGAAAGAAAAAAAAGGCAAAAAGGCAAACTACAGCTAGAATATCATGGAATATGTTTTTTTTTTCAGTTATTATTTCATTGGTTCTCCCTTGTTTTTGATTACAGCAGCTGCATTACTCAATAAGCTTTGCGTAATGTCCGGAGAGGATATTTGCTTTTTAATACCCTACAAGTTTGATTAAACAATCAAAATTTGAGGAGTATGTTATATTGGAAAGAATAAAATGTTAAACTCGGTTAAGTTGTTTAAACTGAAAGAAAAAAAAAGGCAAAAAGGCAAACTACAGCTAGAATATCATGGACTATGTTTTTTTTTTCAGTTATTATTTCATTGGTTCTCCCTTGTTTTTGATTACAGCAGCTGCATTACTCAATAAGCTTTGTCCATATGTTGTGTGTAATTTCTTGCAAAGTGTTCCTATAGATTTCTCACAAATCTGATATTCATTCATCAGCTTTAATTCAAGTTTCCTCAGCTTTGATTCAAGGTTTTCATTTGGATTAAGGAGCACTATTCCTTGGTGGCTTTGCTGTGTGTGTGGTGTGTTTGGGATCATTATTGTGTTAGATATTACACATTTGATCTCCAAACAGATCTTCCATAATCACCTTGAAGTGTGAGGTAAAGCTGGAGGTTCCTGAAAATTGCACGTTTCATCCAAGACTTTGGAAGGAATATTGAAGCAGTCATACATTGACATAACTTTCAACCTCCTGTCCAAACATTGACTAGTCTTCTTTGGACCAGTGCTTCTACATGGTACCTTGTCACAGTGCTCTGAAATAAACCTGCGCACAACGTGACCAGCAAACAAGCAATATCCTAAGTGTATTGACCAGATTTAGCCATTTTGGTAATATCCTGCTTGGCTGCATGAGGACAGCTCCTCCCCCCTGGCCATTTTCACTAAAACCCACATTATAATGTTGGTAGCACTTTATTTTACAGTACGTGTACTTCCCTGGCTGGTACATACATGGTAAATATCTTGTACCTACAGGCAAATGAGTGGAAACATAAGGTACTTACCTGAAGTGTATGGTAACAAATAAGAAACACGGCTGTATTTAACAGTCGTACATGCATGGTATTTAGTTTGTACATACAGACAAGTGTGGGTAATAATGGTCACTTAGAGGTAGTGCCTGTACATGGTAACTAATTAGATAATTTACTGTACTTACTAATGTATATACATGGTAAATATGTAGTACTTATGGTCAAGTGGGTACAAACAGGCACGTCCTAACAGTATCCGTATATGGTAACGAACAAGACACATAACTGTACATACTAATGATATGTACATGGTAAATGTGTAGCACCTACGGAAAAATGTGGTATTATGTGGTAACAAACAAGACATGGTAACAAAAGGTAACAAGGTAGGGCTGTGCAAAAAAATCGAGCCATAGTTCACTGACAAGCTACACAAAATCGCATAATTGGCAATGAATCGCCTGCGATTTTGAACGCGATTTTGCGTAGCTTGTCAGTGAACTACGGCGCTGTGTAGTAAATGCCGCTCCATCTGAAAGCACGTGCTGGAGATTTACTACTAATCACAGAAGCGGCTTTACTGATGAGACGCGCATGAAAATCGCATTCGATTTTTTGCACAGCCCTATAACAAGGTAACTGTCACGGTTGCCTTCTGGGACAAGACGAAGACGGGGATAAACTCAAAACGGCAGTCTTTAATAAACAATCCAAAGGGGTAACACAAGGCAGGGTGAGACTCACATGAAGCACAACATCGATGTATAATTCCAGACAAGGGAAACTCAGAAACACAGGGATTATAAACACATGAAACGCAATCAGGTAGAACAGGAACAGGTGAGGAGTAATCAAGGATAATTAATAGAACACACCTGAGACAAATAAACATAATCAGGACAGGAACTGGAAGGAAACCAAATAAGGGAAAACAAAACAAAAACACACCATAAACGTGAGAGTAACAAGGTAACAAAACTACACATTTACCATGTACGTACCATTAGTATGTACAGTAATATGTCTTATTTACTATGTATATACATTAGTAAGTAAAGTAAAGTATCTAATTAGTTACCATGTACGGGCACTACTTGTAAGTGACCGTTATTACCCACACTTGTCTGTATGTACAATCTAATTACCATGCATATATGACTGTTAAGTACAGCCGTGTTTCTTATTTGTTACCATGTACATACACCTCTGGTAAATACCTTGTGTTACCACTCATTTGCCTGTAGGTACAATATATTTACCATGTGTGTACCAGGGAAGTACATGTACTGTAAAATAAAGTGCTACCATAATGTCTAATAATATAGCTAACACCTCCCACAGTGACTGACTGAATTAAAGGTTGGGAATAATGAGTACAAGCTTTGTGTGTCAGCTTTCGCATCATCACAAATGAAACAATTGAAATGTGGAGCGTTTACATTTAGTTTTACACTCCAAGCACAAATGTGCAATATGTTTACAAAATTGAATACATTTTTAATACATTTGAATAAAGGGCTACGATGTCAGTTTTCCTAAAAAACACCTCTATAGCCATCACTTTTGGCCTCTATTGTACCTACAGTAGCTAGAGATTATTTCAGATTATTTTTATTGCTTTACTGGCATTACAGAAGTATAGAAATAAGGCTAGCACTTTATTTTACAGCCCTGTTCCGCATGTATGTACTATGTGCTTATACAATTAGAATAACTGGGTAATAACTAGGTACTAACCCTGAACCTACCCCTAAACCTAACATTAACCCATGTAGTTGCCATAAACTTCCAAGTACTTTCTTGGGGAAGTACACTATAAGTACACATACTGTAAAAAAAAAAGTGTAACCGAAATATGTTATCAAAGCATGCACTGTAAAAAAATTCATGTGAAATCTACAGGAATTTACTGTGTTTGTGCACAGGAAATTACTGGATACTAGTTCACAGTAGAATACCGTAATTTCAGTCAAAATTGCAGTAATGTAAGAAGTACTGTGAGTGTCACAGTAACCAGCAATGTCTTGTAGAAAATCACAGTAACTTCCAATGTATTGCAGTAAACACAACAAGCAATTATGTACTGTAGAAAATTACAGTAACCAACAATGTGCTGTAAAAAAATAATGGATATTATTTATATCCATCTTAGTTTGCCCAAGAGAGCGGGCGCGACTATTTGTTACTTGAATGTGTTTGGCTTCTGGTGTCTTTCGCTTCCAGTTATTTTACCTGTACAAAAACAGCCCATTATACTGCTTCATACAAACTTTTAATTATTATCATATTATTTTAACTTCAGTATCATAATCATAAATTCACCCCCCAGAACGTGATTTCACCGTACTGCCATACACTAGGGTTTTCTGATACCCAGCCACTGGGATAGAGAAGGAAAACATAGTAGCCTACAGTGCCAGCTGGGTTTCCAGCAAATTAATGCATTTAATTTGACCTCACTGTAATTCAATTACATTTTAGGTTTGAATAGAGAATACAGGAAGCAAAAAAAAAAAAAAAAGTTGCCCTTGCAAATTAGCGAGTTTTACTTTACAGTTACATGGTTGCTACTATAAATGAAAACAGCAAAAATATGGTTATTTCTTCTACAGTAAGTTACTTGTCACTAGCTGCCACTTAATTACTGTAGTTCTTTTCTACAGTAAGTTACTTGACACTTGCTGCCAGTTAATTACTGTGCTTTTTCTACAGTAAGTTTCTTACAGTGTAGACAAGGTGATGATGCCTCCCCTTGATTTTCAGACTGCAGTTCTGTGGGCTGGGTTTGCGTTTAACTAGTTTGGGAAATAAAATGAAGGCACTTTTTGCAACAAGTTTCATTGTTGTTTTACTGGTCCCTGCAGACCAAACATCTGCTTCCGCTTATCATGGAAAATCCACCAAGGTGGCTTTGTTGGATATGCTAAAATTGTAAAACATTGTTTATTTTGCTGTTCATTCATAAACCACTGGACCAACTGTTACTTTCATATTCAACCTCTCAGGAGGCTATTTAAATGATTACTACCATTAG